ACACTTTGTGACTTGTATGAGACACTGACCATTACACAGGCTGTTATATTTCTCAATACAAGGCGCAAGGTGGACTGGCTCACTGAGAAAATGCACGCCAGAGACTTCACAGTGTCTGCTCTGGTAAGAGGTTCTAACGTAATTAAGATGTCTGCATTTCCATTAAAGCAGGATTCAGACTACAATATAGCTGTAAAGTGCTGTGTTGTTGTTCCCCCTGCTCAAAATAAAGTGTTTCTTAACTATACCTGTCTGCTATACTCTTGTAGCAGCCAGGGACGCTTGGTCTCATACATGTTGATAAAAGTAAATATTGACCTCACTGGTGACTCTTGAATTAAGGTTTGTTACTTTGCAGCATGGTGACATGGACCAGAAGGAAAGAGATGTTATCATGAGGGAATTCCGATCAGGGTCAAGCCGTGTTCTGATCACTACTGACTTGTTGGTAAGTGTGTTTCCTACTACTACTTTAAATTTACCAAAAGTTAATTTTGTGGGGGAAGGTTTTATTATAATAACCTTCACCAACTTGGGCTGTTTGGGAGAGCAAAGAAAAGACCACACTCCACAGTGGGCTATACAACTTAGTATAGTTCATTACTATTTTGTGGCCTACATTACATAGGTGTCCAGTTTGTTAAATTAGAATTATTAACATACACCATTGTATTTCAGGCTCGTGGGATTGATGTGCAACAAGTGTCTTTGGTTATAAACTATGACTTACCTACCAATCGTGAAAACTACATTCACAGGTGAGAAGAAGGCATCTTGACTGTGTATTAGGAAAAAAAAACCTCATGTGTTGCTTTTCCACTGTGATTTGTATGGAAGGTAAAAAGACAGTAACTTAGATGATGTAAAGTTGTACTTGGAAAGACAGGTCACAACAAAGTGGCAAAACTTGAAAATGTTGCCCTGATTGTGGGAACATACAGATCAGGTTTATATTGACATCTGTTGGTTTTAGCTTTGAGCTTTATTTTTAGTGATGTTCTTGTGTTCATGTGCTTTTTCTTGGTGATGATTTTTCTATAGTTGGGATTTTCTTGGTGTCGCCTGGTAGCAATTTGAGTGATCCCTGGTTTAGTTTTAGTGGCTTTATCCCTAAGTAAATTGAATTGTACTTTGTTATATGATATAAAAAAAGACTTTTTAAAAAATACAGGAGTCGATAGCAGCAGTTGATGGCGAGATGGCACTCAGAAACGGCGTTGACGTAATTTAGGACGTGGAATCATAAGCGAAACAGCACACTGTTTGAATAAAGAGCGAGTCGGTATTTATATTTGTTTTTCTTTTGTCATGATTATTTAATATTTTAAGTTGCTCCAGCCAAGGCATTTTGTATATTAGCATTTCTCTTAGGGAGCATTTCTAGTAGGTGGTTTGTATTGTCTGGTTTCTATCAGGAAGGTAGAGAGCTGTTTGGAGTAAACACGTTTGAGTAATTTGAGTTATAACGTGTGAAACTGAGCAAAAAAGCAGTGATAAGTTTGGGTTACCATACCAAATTAGTTTTCCCACTGGAAAAAGTAAGTTTTAGAAAATAGTTAACCTTGCAGCATTTGTATTTACAGTCTACAGTTCCAGAAGTGCGTCGAAATGGAGTACATAACTGTTCTTTTTGTTTTATTCCTGGTGTTTACATCTGTCCCAGGCTGACACCTGCTCTTGGCTGGCCCACTTTGGTATGGGCTTTTAGTTTCACTACCCCAAACACAATACTGTCATCTGCTTTATAATAATGCTCAAAACACCTGATGAAATCTCGTTTTGCAGCCAGACAAGCCTTGAATCCTTTTGGCACTAACTGCAAAGGAAGACTTTTTTCTCTAGATAATGATTAGCAGCTAGTGCTCCAATTAGAAGCACGAACTATAACCTTGATAAGTAAACAGCAGCTGATGGTTAACAAGTGGATCGTCATGTTCAGTAGTTCATAAATTATGTGAGAAGTAACATTCTGATTGCTGATTTCTTTTTCTTACACAGAATTGGCAGAGGGGGTCGATTTGGGAGGAAAGGTGTGGCTATAAACTTTGTTACTGAAGAAGACAAGAGGATTCTTCGTGACATTGAGACTTTCTACAATACTACAGTGGAGGAAATGCCCATGAATGTGGCTGACCTTATTCAATTCCCGGGAGGAGACAGTTTCAAAAGCAGTGCTCACTGGTGCTGAATAGGCGATCACAACGTGCATTGTGCTTCTTTCTTTTGGGAATATTTGAATCTTGTCTCAATGCTCACAATGGATCAGAAATACAGATTTTGATAGCAAAGCGACATTAGTCGTGAGCTCTTGTGAGGAAAGTCATTGGCTTTATCCTCTTTAGAGTTAGACTGTTGGGGTGGGTATAAAAGATGGGGTCTGTAAAATCTTTCTTTCTTAGAAATTTATTTCCTAGTTCTGTAGAAATGGTTGTATTAGATGTTCTCTATCATTTAATAATATACTTGTGGACTAAAAGATATAAGTGCTGTATAAAGTCAGCCAATTATGTTAAACTAGCATATCTGCTTTTATTGTGTTTGTCATTAGCCTGAATAGAAAGGCCTTTAAAATTGATTTTTTTAGAAAGCATTTGAATGCATTTTGTTTGGTATTGTATTTATTCAATAAAGTATTTAATTAGTGCTAAGTGTGAACTGGACCCTGTTGATAAGCCCCAGCAAGCAATCATATCCTAGGTAGGGTTAAATCCCCAGTAAAATTGCCATATTGCACATGTCTTAATGAAGTTTGAATGTTAAATAAATTGTATATTCACTTTAAAGGTGCTTTGGTCATTTTATTTTTTCATAACCCTGTACTTACAAAAAACAAAACTACATTCACATAGGTAATTTCATTCTCTTAACAATTCTGAGTTAACTGTTGCATCACAGTTGCACAGAGGCTGATCAATTGTAGATGTTCATCAGCACCATCTGCTAAGCATTTATCAACTTCCTAGGAGGAAATTTAAAAAGGTTAGTAGTAATAAATGTCCTTCAGATATAGGTAAGTGTTTTCTTTATGTGCAGAGTGCCTACTTACAGCAAGTTTTTCTGTAATAATGGACTTCTGTTTATCAGAAAGGACATCATTTTCTACAACCACATCATGAAGTTGATTTACAAGCTGGGTTGCTGCATGACCCTCATCTATTAAGTCCTATAAGAGAAAAAACCAGTTTGGTAGGATGACTTAAAATTTTTCCCCCTGGAAGTTAGTAAACTGATTTTACCTTTACCACAGCTTCTAGTTTGTCAAAGGAGCCACTTTGGCAGGCAGCAAATATTCCATCAATTGTCTCAGCTGGTATTACCTGGAAAGGTATTAAAGTTGTTTCTGGGTGGAAATGGTTTTGGACATTTCCTCCCTTGACTCCCTTCTGTTCCACATTTGGAATACCTGGGTAGCTCATGTGTGCACAGGACATAGAACTAGTGCCCCAATAACCCTGCGTAGTTGGGAAGGCAAAGGGAGAGAACTGGAAAAAAACCAGCATAATTCCACAGTGTTTACTTTACAGTCCAGTCATCGCCATGCAAGCAGGGTGATAAAATTTTGCTTTTGAAGTCCTTTAATGACTCCTTTGTGTAAAGTACACAAAATTTGCTTTTTTCCCAAAACCCAAGTTTGGACCCGCGTGGAACAAGAATAGCTGCTCTGGTCAATGGCTATAAAAACTCTCCCCACTTGAGAAACCTGCTCTCCTTTTTCTCTAACCCTGAGGTACCCCAGTGGCTATAATGATTCTTTAGAACCCTGGCCAAAATCAGCCAAATAGATGGAAAAGTGAGTTTTAAAAGGTGCTTTTCTCTATGTTTTTCTCTATTTAAAGATGCTAATGATGAGATTGGTTTATCTTAAAAGTCCACAATACCCAGAAAGTTAAAGAGGTCTAATGCTGTCAGTTTTATGCCTAACGTAGGTGAAAAATATCTTGGGAACAAAATTTTCAAGGTAATAATCATTCTGAGGAGAGTTTGGACATGGGAGTATCGAAAGGTGTGATATTCTGTTTTCTTTAATGACTTCTGTAAGTTGGATATGCCTTTTTTAAATATATGACTCTTTAGCAACATAGTGTTCATGTTTAAGAACAGGGTTTCTGCTGAAAATTGCTTTAAACTGCTACAAAGTCACCATTTACCTCCTATAAATATAAGAATTGAAAGTGTTTTCTGAGGTGACTTACTATAGACATGCCTGACAAACTGAAAAGTCAGTATTACCTCCTCCCTGAGGCATTCTGATACTCCCAGGCTATATTCCCTTACTATACTTTCTAGCATAGTACTTGGCACATGATAAGCATTCAGGGTATATCTGTTGGATGAAGATTCTCTAAAAGCCAACTTAAAAGAATTTCAGAGTATCTAGTGCTCTTACCCCAGCAATGTCTGTAATCACTTTCTCCGTGATCTCCTTCCCACCCGTTAAGCGAGTAGCACTCTGAAGAAATGTAATGGCTTTTCTTAAGTCTCCTTCTGATACTTTAACAAGAGAAGCTATTATCTGAAGAGAAAATAATTGTTTTTAACCTATGATGGCTAATTAAGGCTATATGACTTTAATAAAGAAAAGTGAAGAACACTGTTTTAGCCTAGAGTTAATGAGAAAAACATTTCTGTTTTGGGAGGAATATTATCAGTATAGTGGCAAAATTAATGGAGACAGCATCAGTCTAATAGAGATCTCTTCCCTCTGAAAGAAACCTGAAGAGATGAAAAGATGTTCCAAACTTCTCATCCTATTTTCTTGATCACATAAAGCAAAGAAAATTGATAACAACTTACGATTAAGTTGTTATAATTAAGGGTCCTATATATCCTATAAGTTGAAGTGGAATATTAACTAGGAAACTAAAATCTTGTCACATAGAGATCTGTTGTTACATGTATGAAATCCACCCCAGATGTGAGTCTCTGAAATACTAATAGATAATAAGCTAAAATAAAAATATCAGAAAAGTTAAGACTTGTAATTCCTATACATTCCAACTGTTGCTCATTTAGCTTAAGTTTGTCTGAAGAAATGGTATGAGGACCTCTTCACATGCATTCATCAAAGGAATTAGTAATTATAAATAATAATAGTAATTACCTCATTGCTAATTTTGACATTTTCCTTCTCAGCAATGTCTAGTAATCGCTGCTGTTGAATTTTATCTGACAGAGGCTTGAAGCGGAATTTTGAACATCTAGAGGTCAGGGGTTCAATTATTCTGTAAAAGATTGGAAAAAACAAGTCAGTATCTAAAGAAAATTTCCCCAGAACTCGTTTTTATCAAGAACAAATCAAGACTTGATGGAGAAGAAACATAGCCTTGAAAATTTTTAATTTTTTCTCTAATTGGCATTACCAAAATAATGCTGCCTAGCATCTATCTTCAGGTTAATATACATACCGACTGACATAGTTACAAATGAGACAGAATCGGGTGGTTTTAGACTCTTTCTCCATGGTACGTCTTAAAGCTGCCTGAGCAGCTGAAGTCATAGAATCTGCTTCATCCAGAATCACAATCTTAAAAGGAGGACATGGCTTCCCACTGATTTGGACAAACACATGGGAATTAAACATTAATATGTACGTTGTTGTTAATAGCTTTATTGACATATACACATACCATACAATTCACCAATTTAACATGTACAATTCAGTGTTTTTCAATATATTCAGAATTGTGTAACCACCACTACAATCTAATTTTAAAACATTTTCATCACCCCCAGAAGAAACTGTAGGCCCATCAGGAAGTGACTCCTCCTCTCCCTCAATGCTCCCAGCTCTAGGCAATCTCTAGTCTACTTTCTGTCTCCTTAGATTTGCCTATTGTGGACATTTCATATAAATGGAATCATACAACATACGGTCTTTTGTGGCTGGCTGCTTGCATTTAGCATGTTTTCAAGGTCCATCCATGTTGTAGCATGTGTTTGCTTCATTCCTTTTTATTGTTAACTAATATTTTATTCATCCATTAATCAGTTGGACATTGGGTTGTTGCCATGTTTGGGCTGTTAGGAATAATGCTGCTATGAACATTTGTTTACATGTTTTTGAGCAGACATATTTTCCAAGAGCTGCACCATTTTACATTACAACTAGCAATGTATGAGGCTTACAAGTTCTCCACATCCTTACCACAATACTTGTTATTTTCTGTCTTTTTGATTATGATCATCCTAGTGGGTGTAAAGTGGTATTTCACTGTGGTTTTCATTTTCATTGCCCTAATGGGTAATGTTGCTGACCGTCTTTTCATGTGCTTACTGGCCATATGTATGTGTTCTTTGGAGAAATGTCTATTCAAGTTCTTTGCTCATTTTTTGGATTATTTGCTTTTATTACTAAGTTTTAAAAGTTCTTCATATATTCTGGATATAAGTATACATTTTCAAATATATGATTTCTAAATATGTGCTCCGATTTTGTGGGTTTTTACTTTCTATACATTGATTTTTGGTAATCTGCCATTAAAGTCTTTCTCCCACCAAAAGTGGCATTAACACAACTGGATAAAAATTACACCAAGAAAACAGATTTCAAATATTACCGGTAGAAGGGATCTCAGAGGTCTTTCAGTCTACATCCCAGTTTTCATTTCATATAAGAGGAAATTGGGTGCTACAGAAGTTGTGACTGCATTATCAATTCCAGGTGCATATAAAAAAATCACTTTCTATAAATTTTGAAGTATGCTCTGATGTAAAATTTAAATATATATCTAGGTGCCAAAAATTTAATCTTGGAATTTAGCCATCTAAAAAGTGTAAGTAATTGACTAAATCCCTGTTTACTTGAGGCAGAACAGTCCTATTTTAATTATTAATATCTTCTTTAACTCTAAAAGTGTCTTTCTATAAATTTTGAAGTATGCTCTGATGTAAAATTTAAATATATATCTAGGTGCCAAAAATTTAATCTTGGAATTTAGCCATCTAAAAAGTG